GAGACACAGTTTCTCTGTGTAGCTTTGAAGCCTATCCTGGCACTCGCTCTGGAGACCAGGCTGGCCTCAAACTCACAGAGATCCTCCTGCCTCTGACTCCTGAGTGCTGGGATTAAAGGCATGTGCCACCAACGCCTGGCTTAAAATTTAAATTTCAATAACAGTTTCCAATTATAGAAATTTTCTACAGCTTTCATATTTCAAGTAGCAGTGGTATAAATTAGCCAAGTTGTTTGTTATGGGACATTTGTACACTGTGTGAAAATGTATTGCTGTAATTGGTGTAATAAAATGCTGAATGGCCAATAGCAAAGAAGAGGCTAGGTGGGAATTCCAGAGGCATAGAGGACTCTGGGAAGAAGAGAGGGAGAGAAGCTAGTCAGGCACACAGAATGGGACAGAGGTGAAAGCCATGTGGTAGAACATAGATTAATAAAATTATGGGTTAATTTAAGTTATAAGAGGTAGTTAAGAACAAACCCAAGCTATAGTCCAGGCTCGCATAATTAATAAGATGTCTTTGTGCCATTATTTGTGAGCTGGCTGGCAGGACAGAGAAATACTCATAATTATTTGTGTCTGCAAGTGTAGGTATGCTTATTTTCTTTATCAGGCATAGTAATTTGTGGCAACATATTACTTATGAATTATCAAAGCTGGCCTGAGCATTCAAAAAGCAAAGTCAGCCTCAAGCTATAGAGATCAGGAAGTGGTGATACAAACCCAGCAGCCAGAAGCTAGGAGGTATTGGTAAACACCTTTAATCCTAGGACTCAGGATTAGGAGTTAGACTGGTCTCTGTGAGTCCAAGGGTTCCCCATCTAACCAAGATTGATCCAGTCCAAAGAGAAACAGCTCACACAAAGATAATCTTAGCACCTGGGACCACACACCTTTAATCCCAGCACCAGAGAGGTATAAAAGATAGGAGCAAGGTCTTCAGTAGTCAGTATTAGGCATTCATTCTCTAGCCACATTGAGGATAGGAAGACACTGAAGTCCCAGGATTCTCCAGCCACACTGAGGAGCGACAGTTGAAAGGTTTGGTGAAGCCAGGATCGCCTTTCAGTCTGAGATAGAGTAAGAGCTAGTGACCAGCTACTTTGCTTTTCTGATCTTCTACTTGAAGTTTGAACCCTAATACCAGTCTCTGGGTCTTTTATTTTTCATGTTAAGGTTTTAAAATATTCAGATTTTGTATTTGCCAATTTAAATCAAACCATGTGGTTGCAAAGATGTAGTCTGAAGAGCTATGACACTTCATGCAATAGTTCACATTCATTGTTTTAAGTAATTATAACACAGTATTGAAAAGGAAGCTGCCATGGCATGATGTGTATGTACATCTTGGTTATTTTTTCATTTATTGAGTTTTTTATAATCAGTGCCTTAATCAACAACAACAAAAAACCTGTTTCCTTATTCATGAGCTCCCTCATGCCATGCTTCATAGTCATGTTATTCTCTTCTTCCCATCACCTTTAACACCTCAGAACAATTATAGCATTATTTTCTGTGTCTATAGTTGTATCATGAAAAGAACATTATGTAATTAGAGACATACAGCCAGTTAGTCTTTTGAGATTGACTATACAACAGTATAATTCCTTGCCTTTTGAGATTGACTATACAAACTCAGCACAATCCCTTACTGATTCCAAGTAGGGAGTTCATTCCTTCTTATAGATAAGATGTACTTCATGCCATGGGTATACTGCAGTTGAGCCATCTATTTATTGAGAGACCTTCCCTACAAATTTTTGAGCATTATATGTAAATATCTACAAACATCGCTATATGTTCCTGGTGCAAATAAAGTTTTCATATCTCCAAGGTGAATGCTGCAGAGAACAATTGCATGCGTGTATGATAATTGCACTTTTAGTTTTATAAGAAAGTGTCAACTAGAAATGTTTCCTTTTTGTGGGATAACGAAACCTCAGTGGGCCTGACAGCTGGCCTAGAGCATGAGCAGTAGATATCTCCTGACAGTCTGTCCAGAACAATAGTAAGAGCATGCACTGTAGATATGTTCTGACAATAGGGCTGGGTCTGCCAGAGGGCCTTGACAACAGCAGACAAGGGATGATGTAGACCTATGGATAGGGACCACATCACCTCAGCAGACACCAGCTTAGTGGATCTCCTCCCCTGGGCCAGAGTTGGGGAGTATATAAGGCTTACCCTTCCTGGAATAAACTGAGCTTGTTGCTTCAACTTGTTCTGGATGCCTTTGATGTTGGTATCATGCCTACTTTCCCCACTCCCAAGGGACATCTGTCAGGTTCCTGCAACACATTTTCTTTAAAATTTATTTTTATTCTTTGAAATTTACATACATGTATAGAATGTATTTTAATTTCATCCACCATTACCTCCCTCCAATCTCCTATGGTCCCTCATTCCACCACCATCCCAAATTCATGTCCTTTATTGTTATTAATAACCATATGAGCCCACTCAGTACTGCCCATATGTGATGGTGTCTGTGATGACATACACTGAGGCATGGGCAACATGTCCCCAAGAAGAGTGCATTTCATAGCTATGCTTTTTACCTGTCCACTCTTGCATTCTTTACCCCCACTATTCTCTGATGTTTCCTAAGTTTTTAATGAAGAGAGTGGTTAATAGAGATGATTCATCTACAGCTGAGCACTCAGGATTATTATACTTGGTGCTTTGGCCATATACGTGTCCCTGTATTAAATGCTACCCACTAAAAAAAGTTAAATCT